GGATCAGAGATGGGCCATGGCCATTCCCCTCCACCCCCCTGCAGGGCCAGATTGGAGCCAGGCTACACCCACTTTCCTCCCCACACCTGGATCAGGGCTGAGCCACAACCCTTCCCCCTACAGGGCTGGGGTGGGGCTGGACCAAGTCCCATCTCCCCCCTGCCAGGCCTGGGTCAGGCCCCCTTCCTGTCCCCTGTGGACCCACTTCAAGCCCCCTTCCCCCTGTGGGGCTGGGTTGGAGCTGTGCTGCCATCCACCCCTGTATGTGGCTGGATGTGGCCTGTGCCCATCCTGGGCTCCCACTGGAATCACTAGCCAGATCCAGCCGACAGACTGCCTGGGCACTACCCATCTGGCCCACCAGGCAAAAAGGTTGAGCACTACTGCTTTAAGCTATACCTGCCATACTAGAATATCTGTGGCTTTAAAAAGATTAATAAAGTAAATATGTAGGTCCAAGAATATTTCCAATTAAAATAATGCTGTCAGGCACAGCAGTCTGAGTCAGTCTGAATATTTGGCATTCTGGAAAGCTTTTGGCAAAAAGAGTGATTAGTAATTAGGAAAGCCTATCACAGGACGTGGGTACATCTTGTACTATTTTTGTGTCCCTTTTGGGATCATTATTCTTCTTGGTACAAAGATATGTCTTTTTCTGTATGCATCATTCCAAGAGTTAAACTTTTGCTCTGTGTACTTGCAGCATCCTCTCTGATGCCTTTACTGCTGTGAACTGGTGATTTTCAATTCTGGTTTGTGGATCCAAATTAAATTAATGCATAAGGTTAGGCACTGTTTGCCAACATATTGTAACACTTAAATGATGTCATTGTAGTTAGGGAGCCTACAATAGTAACAAGCTGCTATTTATAAAGTTATCTGAATGTGGTAACACAAGGATACATGTTAAGAATTATAAAATAAAACCTTGTCAAATAACACGCGCCAATTCTACAACTAAATTGAGCATAGACAACTTAGTCTGAAGGCAGAAATATGGCAGCTTTGGCTTCAAAGACATTAAGACATTTTGGAGCCAAGAATATTTTCAATTATTTAGTCCAAAGTAATGTTGACAGTTTAGTGAATAACTGCATGTAGTGTACATAAACCACAGGCCAAATCCTTATTCAGTCTATTATTAGAGCTTCCATTGAAGGTGATGTGATTTTTGCCTCTCAGGTCTGAGCAAGTTCAATTTTGCTGTGCTATGAAGATGTAGACCATGAAACATGAAATATGTTAACAGGTGCTCTCCAGCACTTGAAGTATGAGCAAATGATCAAATTAAGGAAGTTAACAGGAGGCAAGAACATGCTGTGGAACAGTTGATGCATGTGTGTGTGTATGTGTATGCGTATGTCCACAACTGCTTTATGGTAAATGAAAGTTAAAGCAGGGCAACTTAACCCTGTTTCATTGAAGGGCAAGCTGTTCTGGTTTAGTTTTGACTTGTGGAGTGGTAATCATGGGCACATAAACATTTAGTGCTCTTTGTCTGGTCCATGTTAAGTCCTGACCTCCTGTTAACATGGAGTTTAAATGGATTGTTGTCCACATCATAATAGGTGCATCTTTTAAGATTTAAATGACCTTGCAGTAAAATGGACTAAAATCACCTCTTCTTTAGAGGCAGCCTGTTCATATATATTTACTGTTTGTTTGTGCAGCCAGAGGAAGTATGGTCAGCAGCCACAAATGGTCCCATGAATGGTTTGCTTTGATAACAGCTACAGTATACTCCCATAACTACTGAGACTGGGAGAAAAAATCATGAAAATTATGTGTTTTCTATAGTAGGGTTAGTCACTTTTCTGTACTGTAATAATGAAAAAATTAGTTCCTGCTGTTGTGATTGGTAAAGCGGGGGGGGAAATAATAAACATTATAATGAGACTGTACTGTATTTTAGTCAAGCTGCTTTTCCTTTTGTAATTATCAATGAGTGGGGTTTGAAATATAAGTAAACACTTAGAAGTGTCTGCTGCAGTTATTCTCCAAGAAAACTTGTGTATACCTAAATTGCAACACCTAGGGGAGGGAGGCCTACTCTTCTACGGCCGTGGAAAGAGAGAATGTTGTGGCAAATCTCAGTATAGTTTCCACTGGTTACAAAAGGAGAATGTGTAATGTGCCTGCTGCTAAATTCATTATCAGCTACAGAAATCCAGGAGTCATGACCTTTCTGCTTTCTCAGTGGAACCATTGACTACTTTGTTATTTAGGTTATACTGTCCCCTGTCACACTTCTTGTTTGCTTAGTGCAGGGATGTCCGATTTCTCAGTGTCTGAGGGCTCTACCAGCATGAGCCATATGTGTTTCCCATGGTGTACCATGCCACACAGGCAGCTTGGCTCCCACCCTCAGCTCAATGGTCACAGGTGGGTTGTACCTCATCATGCTGACCTGCCCCCAGGGCTGAGGGCAGGAAACAAAAATTGGAGGAGGAAGGGGAAGCAATGGGAGAGCAGCACCCAGGTAGGAGCCAGGGGGCTGGGATTTGCCCCTTGTAGGTTGCATGTGACCCACAGGCTGCTGATTTTGGACAGCCCTGGCCTAGTGTATCGTCAAGAACATGAATCTCATCTTCATGTCATGAACAAAGCACTTTTAGAAATATCAGAACCATGGCAAAATCAAACCTGAATTCCACACCCAAATGATCTCTTTTCTTAGGGTGAAATAATGATGATATTTAAGTGCTAAAGAAAATTATAGATTTGTATTTCAAAAAATGGGCTGATTTTTTTCTCAGCTTAAGTCATAGAGAAGCACTTGAGGTTAGCAAGTTGGGAATGATGGTGCCTGCATGGCTGGCAATAGTAAATAGAGCGGTGTCCCTCTGGATACTCTGATTTTGAGCATAACAGTGATCTAAATGCTGCTGCTTGCCCTCGTTGCTACTTTGGAGACAGTTGGGAACATTTCCCTTCTATGAGCTATTCAGCAAAAGTAAGATCAAATTCCTCTCTGCTGACACACTACAGCTTCAGTAGAGTTAAACCATGGATGAATTTTCCCCTTGCTTTTTGGATTGGTAACATGTGCTGGGTCCAAAAATATGTTGGCTCCTTTATCATCCTTGTCTAGTAATTTATAATTTAAAGCATGGTGTCATGATATAATGCAACTCAATATGGGAGGCTAAAAGGCAGACAGAAATTGCTATAACTGCAAAGTGCTGCTTCGCAGCTGAGACCCACATTTCTGCTCCTATTCAGAAGGAGTCAGCACATCTGGGTATTTTCTAGTGTTTGGATAGTCACGCTAAAAGCAAGGACCCAGTTGTACAGGATAGCAAAGCCATTGGTGGTTTGTTGAGTTGTAAGATTTTGCAAAAAACACCGTTAGATGTATTGATTCTTTGTCCTTGTCTTTGCCAAGACTGGAAGCCCAGAGAGAGCTTAACTGACTGATTAGAAAAAGTAAAGAAGTACAAAATATATGCAGGCAAGAATTAGAGTGTTGCACCAGGTTCTGTTTTCAGTGATATCAGTGTAAATGTGAAGTACCTTGATTGATTTTACTGGAATTAATCCTGATTTAAACTCATGTTATTTCATGCAGTTCAAAATGACAGGTCTGCTTGATTGAGCTAAGTATAAATGAGGGACTTAGTTTGCTTTTGTCCTTACCAGGGACTTTACATTTATATCATTTTAATTTCAAAGTTAAAGCAAAAAAGTATTTTAATATTTCTTGTTAGAAGATGTATTATTTCATTTTCTAATCATATATTCTCTGAATATTACCATCTGGGTAACTTTCTACACAATTTTGTTGTGCTTGCTTTTAGCTTTCTCTTTTTATATCAGTTTTAGCATTTACACTCATTCCCTTAAAAATCAGACAGGCAGGGAAACCAAGAATTTTTTTGTCAGGCAGCTATCAAAAGAACGTAGGTACTGTGAGAGCATAGAGTATGGGCCCCTCCAGATGTTACATTTATCGCGTGATTAATGTATTAATCATGCAATAAATTGTAATTTGTAATACATTGTAGCATGAAGTTCAACCAAGTTATGGTGCAATAAAATGGCAAGCCAGCTGCAAAAATGTTCCATGTAAAATGTAGCATGTGTCCAGGCCGCAAGGTTGCTCTCTGCCTAATCCCGACAAAATCCCAATCTTTGTTGGGATCAGGCAGTGGGCAGCCCCGAAGTCTGAGACAGCCACATGGCTGGGTTGCATTGGTGTCATGGAGACTTAAAAGGGTGCCATGTACCTTTAAATGGTGCACATAGCTAGGGTCTGGGGAGCTCCCTCACCCCAGCGAATGTCCCAGCAGTTGCATACTTGGTATATGAGGAACTTTATGCCCCATCCCAAAAATCATGCATCCTGTAATGTCAGAGGATATTTGGGGGATGGGGCATAAAATTCCTCAGATGCAATCACACCACTATATTTACATCTACTAGGGGCCTATCTTACCTTTTTGAGATGGTGAATGAGAAACATGACACCTCAGATAAAAATGAAGATGTAGGATCTCTCCCTACTGTCCTCTTCAGTTAAATGTGGCATGTGAAGCACAGATGTACTACCAAAGAACCAGGAACACTTGTGAATGCCTTTGTATTTGTCTCAGATGGACTACCTAGCAGTGTATGACAGCCAGTAACTATGTGACTTCATCATGCCTTATGCCCCAGAAACCGTCTTCATTCTGCACACCATTCACATACAAAATCCTACTAATGGAATAAAAATAACCAATGCTAAATCAGTACAGCCGACATTAGCAAACAAAAAGTACCTTTTATTTCTGTGCTATGTTCACCAGAATCTATGGCAGATACCACTTTTTGTTTTTACTTCTATGTAAAGGAGCTTGTGAAGCATCAGATCAGAATGTTGCGGGAGATCTCCCCAGGACAATTGTGGGTCTGAGAGGGTAGATGTCCACGGCTGAACCTCACTTAACTTTAAAATACTTTTTCATAAATATAAATGTTAATGATTTTCTCAATTCCTTTCTCTTCTTACAAATACTTAGTGGAAAGGGAATCAAGAATACCACTGCATCCACCACAAGAAAGAACCCCCCTGCAGCTATATCCAGAAGTGCCACCATATCCCTCACAACCAAGGACACCACTACAGCCACAACCTGGAATACCTCTGCAGCCACAGCCAGGAATACCACCACAGGCCCCACAGCCAAGGACACCACTACAGCCACAACCTGGAATACCCCTGCAGCCCTCACAGCCAAGAATAGTAATACCACCACGACAAAGAACACCTCTTCAGCCATCCCAGCCAAGAATTCCTCTACAGCCATCATTACCAGGCTCAGGCATTTTACCACTTTTGCCTGGATCAACAGGAACCATAATGGAGACTGGAGAGGCTGGTCCTCCTGGCACAGTTTTAATGTCAGGAAGGGGATGGTCTAAAGGTGTAGATGGCCAGGCTGGTCAGAATATCATGCCCATTGCGGAAGGATATGCTGGAGCCCCAGGTGAGAAAGCTAAAGTTTTGTCTGAGCCATTTGCCCTGAAACACAATTCATCTTGCTGTGTAATATGTAGGTCCTTCCTCATAAACAAGAACATGCTTTGCTATCAGAATCAAGAGGCTCGTGTGAAAGTCCACGCAGAAGCCCAGATCTGCAAAGGTATTTAGAAGCCTGAGCTTCCACTGGAGTCAGTGGGACCTAAAGTGCTACTACTCTGGCATAGGTGCAGGAGGTATGTCAGGGTTCATTAAGCATATAAAATGCTGAAA